AGTATCAAGGAGAGAGCATCAAAATGTTCTTTATACTCAATGCTGCCCGCCTGGCCACTGCTGTTTATAATCGCTTTCTGCACGAAATTCCCCGTTAGGACAAATATGCTTGGCCGCTCCTCCGAAGGCAAATGGTGATAGACGCTGAAGACCTTCCGCAATGCGTCCAGGGTCCGCATGTTATCCAGATTGACCTCCCCCAAAGCAACCACCCTTAACCGGCGCTCGCTTTTAGCTACATCCCGCAGGTAGTTGGTTTCAATCTGCCTCATTCGCGGGCCACGTGCACGTTCACTTCCGACTCCCAGAAAGTCAATCCATCCAAGTCCTCCACTAGAACTGACCTCCCTGCCACTTTGTTGGTTGTTCATCCCAAGAGATGTCTCCCGCCGCTCACAGGGAGGACCGCATATGGAAACGCCCACGAAAACTCCTCCAATGGCACCCCCAACCCCGGAATTGCCGCCTAGAGTGGACCCCCTGACATTTTCCTCTTCTTCATAGATCCCATCAACGAGGACAAACATCCCTGGAGCGAGCCAAGCTCCATCTTCAGGCACCATCCGCGCGTGTCTAAGATCCAAGGAAATACTCCCCGTCAAATCGCTCAGTGTTAAGTCGCCCGTTGGGGACGTTGAGAGTAAACCTAGAATAAGGTGTGATGTGCCATTTCTCCCGAGTAAATTCGCGATTGGTGTGAGCTTGTAGCCTTGGGTAACCGCTAAAGAAGATGATGGTTGGCGCAAGATACGCGAGGGACCGGACGGTGAATGGAATGACTCATGCCGAAGTAGACGTTGATGGATGACATTGTAACGATCTCTGAACAAATTCGTTCTGTGAGAGGATGGGGGGAATAGGGTAGGCCTTGATCTTGCGACTTCGAAGTATTTCTTATCCGCATTATAAGTCAATCGCGGTATATCAAACGCCTCGATAACTTTAACCCAATGTCTCGGGTGTGAGGGGACATCGGAAGTTTCTGTTGGACCTTCTCCTTCCAGCCCTGCCGCTGCATACAATGGCGGATCGGCCCTAGAGCGTCTGGTTCCTTGGCCGGGGCTTGTCGTTCTTGATGGGACCTCATCTGACGTGGCGTGCTTCCCAGAGACTACCCTTCCCCCACTCATATTGCTCTCTAAAGCCTGGAGGATGGCTTTCAGTGAGGCGCCCTTACCCTCATCGACAATGACACCACCGCCAGCTTTCTTCCAGGCTTTGGCCACTTCATCAAGTACTCTTTCTGCGAGACCTTCTTCGCGCCATGCCGAGCCACAATTCTTCCCCACGAAGGTGGCTAGTGTTTGAAGCGCAGAAGAGGATATCGTTAGGTTATGCTTGCGCGTGAAGGTACGGAAGGCCACAGGCCGCAGAGTCGAAGGAGGGAGCAGTATGGGAAGGACCGATGTCCTCGTAGGCAGCGCATTGGGTCTGTTCTTTCGGAATGGATAGGCGGGAGTTCCAAATCCGGGTGACGATGAAGGTACGGGGTCCGAGTCCATAATTCAGATAGTAGATTGTGACTGCGACACTGGTACTGCAAATCCGCTCTTGGTCGAATGCGCGTCTAACTGCCGGATATCGTGCGGGGACAATGTCACGACAAGAAACTCGTAGAGTTCCTCGGAATGGGTGAAGAGGGAAAAACTCAAGGAAATGGAGAGAGCGAGGGAAGAACTGAGAACCGCTGTCAGTACAAGGTGATCCTGCCAACGCCGGTCGACTGATTAACCATTACCTACCTGGATGAGGCATTGACGTATGGAGTAGATCAAGCAGAACGCGTCGTGGCGGTGGTGATGGCGGCACGCGCGTCCCCCACGCGATTTGTTCCACTTTTGCGACAACCTACAAGGCCATTATCCATGATCTTTCTCAGTACTCATGCACTGATCATCACACCAGACCTATTTTGATCAAAGGCACCATAAATTTCGCCAGAGTAGCCTCTTTTCGTGATACTCCTCTTTCCACCCCCGATTATCAAATATTTCCCCCCGCCTATTGGAGGGATTTCCTTGTTGGGTTGGTTCTGGTTCGTTCCTCATCCATTACATTACCATCAACCACACACATCCATAATGGAACCAAGTACATCCCCGAAAGACGATAGTACAAAGACTCGAACAGCTTTGGACGACCTTATCAAGCAAGCTGCCGCCAAAGATGCCATCAAGGATTACAACGCCGCTGCAGAGCTATATTCTGAGGCCACGGAACTTCAAGCAGAGCTCAACGGAGAACTAGCGCTGGAAAATGCAGATTTACTATTCGCCTACGGAAAAGCCCTCTATAATGTTGCCGTCAGCAAGAGCGATGTGCTTGGGTCCAAGGTAGCTGGAGAATCACAGCCGAGCAGCGCATCTGTCGAGAGGCCATCCGCTGCGGCAACAGGCACAACCGCAGGTATCGTTGAGAAAGCTGTCGCCCAGGGCCCACCTGAGAAGTCCGCGGGAGCCCAGAAGTCAAATACTGGTGATGTTCCAGCTAAGCCATACTTCCAATTCACTGGTGATGAGAACTTTGACGACTCGGATTCGGAAGACGAGGCCGACGGTGAGGAAGCTGCGGCCGATGACGAAGACGACTTTGCCAATGCCTTCGAAGTTCTTGACCTGGCGCGCGTGCTATACCACAAAAAGATGACTACGTTAGAGGAGGGAATTGGCAAAGGGAAATCCGCAGATTTGCCTCCAGATCTCAGACACGTCAAAGAACGTCTCGCGGATACGTACGATTTACAAGCGGAAATCTCACTGGAGGCAGAAAGGTTTTTAGATGCGGTGACGGACTTGAGGACGTCTCTGGATCTAAGACAGTCTCTGTTTCCGATTGAAGATCCTTCTGTTGCAGAATGTCACTACAAGCTTTCTCTTGCCCTAGAATTTGGCTCCGTCAAAAATGAGAATGACAGCTCCCAAGAGGACAGTACCCTCAAAGGGCCGGTCGACGAGGGAATGAGGGAAGAGGCCGCAGCTCAAATGGAAAAGGCTATTGAAAGCTGCCGTCTGAGGATGGATCAAGAACAGAAGAAGTTGGTCGCCGATACTTCATTGGATGAGGACAAGGTGACCGCTATGAAGAGAAGAATAGCAAATGTCAAAGACATTATAGCAGACATGGAGCAAAGGGTAAGCAACAGCCTTCTTTCCAAATCCCTTCATCGCATACCCTTCCTACTTCCTTTGTTTCGGCTACAGTTACTAAGAACATTGACAGCTCGTCGATCTTCGACGCCCGCCAGTATCTGCTATTGAGAAAAGCGATGCAGATAACACAGTGCTGAAGGGTATTTTGGGTCAAATCATGGGGCATTCCCCTTCGGAGCAAAAGGCTCATCTCGATGCTGTCACAAAAGAAGCAAATGACCTTTCTGCGTTTATCAAAAGAAAACCTGCGAGCAAGAAGCCACCCCAGAACAGTGAGACTGTACCAAAACGATCGGCTCCGGAAGAGGGCGCGGGAGGCGATACAAAGAGAGCACGAGCAGGCGATAACCTTGAATGAACCTGGGTATACTGATCGCCAGAGGCATCAACGTGTCTGGTGCTCTGTCTATCAACCCTTTGTAGCAGCTAGAGATCACCTGAGGAAGTGCTCTATCATGCTAGCATTTGCTCAAAGGTTTAGAGCGTTAATTCGGATATGATACCCAATGAAGCGAGGCCGCAGAAATAAATATACATTATACAGAAATAGCCACCAAGTTATCTGTGAATTCTATTGTGATACCACTTATTATTATTACTGATTAAGGTAGCTCCCAACGAACCATAAGGGAGAAAAGGAGAAAATGAATCAAAGAATCAGAGCCGTCTGGTGCACAAAGCAAGGCGGTTTCGTAGCAAACAACCCCACCTTGCTCCGTCTGAAACTGCGGGGCCGTTGGGTCATACTTCATTTCATCAAACATGGAGATTCTCATGAAGCTTCATTAGGCGCAAGAGCATAACTCATTATCATAGGGCTGTGATTCCGAATAGAGAAGACCGGCGTTCGGGCAGTTTGCGATTTCTTCGGCGTACAGCCAACCCAGGGGACCAGATTCCAGAGAATAAGTCCTCGCATTCATCTTCGTTCTGGCTATCAAATTCTATACTGTTCGAAGGTTGGTCATGTCCAACCTCGGTAGAGCTGGTATACGCCGGGAGTAATGCTGTTTCAACAAAGGCGGGCGATTCCCAAAAAGAAGATGTCATAACCCTTTCGGTCTCCAAAATGAACTTGCCGACCTTGTAACGTTGCGACTCTTCTTCAGCAGCTATATATTTCCAGCCGAGCACATTTCCGCAAATGGAACAGTTGATGTCGCCTACTGTGTGCGCACCAGTGACCAGTCTCCGCGGCACGGGCTGCTGTATCATCGTATTTAGAAGTGTATCGGTTGGTGAAGGTCCTCTAGCGAGCGCAGGCTCGCCGGACACAAGATAGGCACGGCCATAGCGACCGGTGAATCCTTTGCTGATTATCTGCGACGTCAGGCATATATCTGCTGCACAGTGTGAACAGCGGATGCATGAAACATGGCCCTCCAGATAACCGGCGTCACTTGGCTTCAGAAATTGTCCGGATCCTTCTTCCGAAGATGGCACTCTGGACCTCACGCTTCGCTGTTTGGTTCGGAAGAAAGATGGCTGGAGCAAGAATTTAGGAAACATAGAGCCTTGGATATAGGATCTTTGCCCTGTGAAGTACGTGAATAGGGGGGCATGTGTAGCAACCAAATGGCGAGAGCATCAAAGAATGCTGCTAGTTTTTATCATAGTTCTAGTATCTCTAGCATAAAAGATGCAGTTGTTACAGTGAGGTATATGGAAATGGGTAGGTATCATACTGAGGTCATCACCCGTTCCTTGGCGATCTAGTGATCGGAACGAGTCATGACATGGTCATCTGACAAAATAATGATAGTTATGGATCCCGGCTGATGTGCCAAATACAAATGTGAGGCCATTTTCGGCCTGACTAGGGAATGGAAGCATAACCCAAAATCAATACATATATAAGGATTATTCATATCATTTGGCCTTTGCTCCTTGTTAGAATAAGTGAACTAGCTGTTTGGTTGCCTATAGCTAAACCTCCGCATCCAAGAAAAGCCATTTAGTGCTAAGCGAGCGTTCGACGTCTCTTGCACCACTCCACGGTTGCAAAGTAGTCAAACTGAATCCGCACCAACCGAGGTTCCGTACAGCTTCTAGTTCAACTGCATCGTGCGAACGGGGTACACATGCCACAATTCGGGGGCACCCAAAAGCAGATATATTAGCAAGTTCAAACAGGGCAATCAACCTTATGGGGAACAAACACGACAGTATGTTAGTGATATCCACGGGTTTATACCTCGTCTACATTTAGACGAGAACATTGGTGCACATACCCTGTTTTCAGACCGTGACCGAGTGCGTTCTCTGCAAGGAAAACAAACAAGGTCGGTTCGCCGCTCGCATTGGTTACAAAACCACGGTGTATAGTGTCGCTGGTGTAATCCAACAGCTCGAACCACTGTGCAATCGGCATACTATTGTTCGGCCGGCTTTGAGACGCACCTACCCCAAGTGACTCTTGTCCAGCGAAGCTCCTCTCACCAAGAAAGATCGCAGACAATGTGTCACAGAAGAGCCTCTCACACTCTTCCGGGATAGTATGCATTGCCTCCCCTTTATATTCCGGTAATATATTGCCCGGCCAACTAACCCCCACGCCTGGAGCGATGGAGAGTCCAAAGGGAGGACTTGGAGATGTCTTTGACCCCGAAGGGACCTCAGGGATACCACTGTGTCCCTAATAAGATGATCAGAAGTTAGCAGTTAGTTACGAAGTTTAGACCATAATGATCGATTGCGGAAAGGGGCATCGTACCGGCCCCCGCGGTAGTGCAGTAGTGGAAACTATCGATCACGGAAGTGGATGATTTGACGCTGTAACAACTGGCAAGCACGCTAGCCTGGGGATGTTTGTCGAGTGTACACTGCAACTGATTTCGGGTGCTACTGTTGTGATTCGATGACTTGGCCATGATGATGGATGGATCTTATAAGTTGAAGATCAGATGTGCTATCTTTCGGGACAGGTGGGCGCGGCTTGAGAATACGTATAAAATTTCGGGTCCACTGGGTAGGTATCTTGTAATAACCTTCTGACAGCCGCGATAACGTTAGGATGCAATAACAACCGATGCAGAAAGGTGGTGCAGGTGTACTAGAGGTTGGATGGTAATTAGATAGGGATGGGATAAACTGGGGTGGTTTCCTGGGACTATTTACTACGGAGTACTAAAATGACATGTGGGGCTCCATTAGTCAGGCCGGAACATAACTAGTTAACTTAAGTTATTGCGTGCCCAGTATTTATCTATAGCTTTTTCAGTTAACCAACTAGTTGAGTTTACTCTTGTTATCTGATCAGATGCCCGATGCTGTTTGAATAACCTCTACATCTCTGCTGCTTAGAGAGTCGTAACTTCACATAGAATTTTACATGTGCGAGGTCGTCTATGTGGGACGTCGCAGGATCCTCAGGTGGTTATGCATGTAGATAACGACGGATACCATTGCCCACAGACAATTATATATACATGAGTATCTGATATGCCCCCTAAACATTGTAATGTATCGAAATTTACGTGTCATTCTAATAAAGCTCTGGTTTTGATGGATGTTATATCTTGATTTCACGAAGGCAATTCCCGTATGTGGATACCCAATGGCGGAGCGGCTTTGATCTCTCATGAAGATTAGTACTATCTACGACCACTTTGTAACTAATAAACGCATCGGTAGTCGCTAGACTTTTTATTTGGCAAGTTGCTTAATGTGGCGCTAATATTACATTGTGTACATTCAATTGCACCTTCAAATAACAAGCCCGTCAGAGCCGGAACCATATCCTTTCAACTCCAACAATGTGCAAATTTCAAAGGGGCAAAGCCTGCAACATGCACATGCCCACATGACAATGAATCAGGTAGCAGCTATGAACGCCGATGAACATAGAAAGAATAGAGCATGACGGGGTGAACAGCAAGACATAACGGAAAAAGGGAGACCTGAGACCTAACAACCGCGGACACGTCGAAGTGACTTTCTCTACCACCTCAGAGCTCTCGATAGTCACTTGGTCGTATCCTCCTGTGTCTCGCTTGGTGCCGTTGTGGATTAACAGGTTGCCGAAAATAAGCCGTATCTTCTTCCCTGGCAAATGGCGTACTGAACGTTGTTCTCTGCTGGTTTGAAAATCGACCTATTCCGGGACCTTGCGCAAGACCAGGATTCGGTTGAAGTCCCATCATTTGAGGCATGTGGAACATGTTCATAGATGGCTCTCCGACGCCGTTGTAAAGGTTCGGTGTGGCATAATTGTTCACATTGTCACCATAGATTCCTGGGGCAGGGCTAAAATTCATAGCATTCATGGGATTCCACGATTGATCCATGTTAGGTGGGAAACCACCAGACGAAGGAACACCCATAGAGTTCATAGGATCAGACATTGGTATCGTAGGCATCCCCTGGTTCGGCATGAATCCAAAATTTCCGAATGGCATCTGCTGGCCGAAAGGGAAAGCTGGAAAATTGGCCACAGGCCCAGTAGCCTGTGTATTTTGTGAATCGGCCTTGTCGTTTGTCTTCAGCTTTTTGGATAACGAACTAGGACTTGATCCACCAGTGGCAGTACGGGAAGGTTCATCTTCAGCAGGTCTTTTGTTCGAAGCTGGTTGACTAGGCGGAACTGGGGGGGAAGACTCCGTATTTGCAACAGGCCCTTTGCCTTGCATGGCTGATTTGTCAATACCGGGACCATTGTCATTTGCCTGTTGCTTGTCCTTCTCTCTCTTCGAATCCGCTTTTTCAGCTTCGTACTCTTTGATCTTGCTGATAGCCTCATCATCAACAGTAAGATTATCGAGTAATACTCCCTCCGTTCCACAGCCAGGGCATACAAAATCGCTTTCGATTAATGCATTGGTAATACAATCATTGCAGTATGTCCTTTGACAGCACGGAGTTCTAGTGGGCTCTAAAAACATTCGCTTGTCAATCGGACACTCTAAACCACGTGCTTGCAGTTCTTTGCTGTACTCTGCTGCTGCTGCTTCTGCTGCGGCTGCTGCGGAGGCTTTGGCTTTCTCCTGGTATAATTCCCAGGCTGCCTTGTCAGGCTTCGCTATGACGAAATCGCCGTCGGCATTAACCATGACACCTGTGTTCCTCGGATCCTCGTTTGAGCCGTCCAGGGTGAGGGATTCCGGCTTTTCGACCTTGGTTTGTAATGAACGGGGTATACCGGTTGATCGTTTTACTCTATACTTCCCATCAAATTTGGGGTCATTATTTGTGGGGCAAGCTTGGATCCAGTGTCCTGATAATACACCGTTAGTTTTAGCTTTCAATGATTATATTAGAACAGCTTGCCTTTCTCACGACAGCGGTAACATAAGTAGCCGGGGGGAGGGGGGTGATCAGGAACATTCACAGGTCTGCCCCTTCCACGGCCAAATGGAACAGGGGTAGCGCTATACAGGAGACGAATTGTCAGTACCAGTAGAGGAGAAAAGAAGAAAAATAAGTCTTACTACATATAGACACACTTACTTTGCCATTTCCTGCTGCTGTTCTTTCCATTGATTTGCTTGCAGATTAAACAGTGCATTGATCTTCTCTTCCTCCGTCTGGGCATTGTTGAGCTCTAGAACACCGTTGCTAGTATTGGGAGATGCTCGAGTCAAGGGAAATTGTTCATTACGGGGGGCACTGCGCGCATTGACTGGCATTTTCCCGGAAACATAACGAGCAGCACCACCCTTCCCTGGGCGTGATGCAGGCAATCTCCGAGCGATGACGGACGTAGAACGCGGTATTATGCTGGTGTCATCGTCGTATTCTGTCCCATAAAAACAAACGGTCAGTCCCCAAGAATCTTTTCTCTTAACTTCAACCACGACCTGTTCCCGCTTTGCCATACGGGTTGGGCGGACCAAGGTGGATATGAACGGTAAAACCAAGGCAATCAGTTTCCAGAAGCTACTAACCTTCTTTAGTATCTTCATTGTAGATAGACAGCTCAAAGTCAGTCCCGTCACCCAGTCTACTCTGATTGATAATTTCTCTTTTCAATTCGAAGACAGAGATACCGGTGCCATCAAAAGTCACCCTTGAAGGCTCCTTTTGAGACTTGAACTTGAAGTGAACAGAGGATGACATTGTATTCAATTGCACGTCAATGATGGTGTTGCGAATGTAATTAGATCAATAGAGGGGTGCCACTTTCACAAGAGATACACGAGAACAAAGGCAGACAAATGATAACAAGCAACAATCGGAACGGTTGGCAAATTGCAGATGACAGTATGACGTATAGCCTCACTCCTGTCTCAAATGCTTAGAGATCGTAAACCCAGTATCTATCGAGGGCTTTGCTCGAACTCAGTAGATTGAAGAAGCGTCTTGAGTGCTGCGCGGCAAGTGTTCGAATCACTGCATACAAACAAGGTGTCAGGTCCGGTGGATACAGAGACGAAGCCAACTAGTCTGCAGTAAGATAATGTGAGTTATAAAAAGCTCCGCGGGCCTTGCCAGTATAACAAGCAGCATCAGACGCCGCAACCCATCTAATTCGCGCTTGCGACCGAGCTCAAGAGATATAAGTTCATGTAATCTTCGTTGAGAACAGCCTTGGGGCACTTCCAAAAGCTTTGGGCAATCAAGGCATGGAATAGTATATACGACCAGAGTGGACGAGACTTGGGGAAGCAAAGACGCAGCGAAGGTAAGAGGGCGTTTGAAAGAGAGATATGCGTGCAGGTTTGGGTGCGGGAGACAACGGCGTCAAACTTGAATTGACCAGTATAAATTCAAGGGGATAGAGCCATATAAGATGAGGAAAAGCAACTGGATAGAAACAAGGCAATCTTAAACAATCAGTGCATTCTCCAGGACATGTGCAAGGGTATGATCAAAGCCTGGAGAGCGATTCGGGAACAGTCTTCGTGGTGGCGAGCTAGCGCATTCGGTCACGTGACTTTGCGCCAGATGTGGAAAGTACAGGTTGCCTGCCTATCTCTGTAGAGATAGTTTGACTTCCCTAAATCATAGTACTAACATAATCTTCTGGTACGTGCTTTTTGATGGTCAGGAAGTAAACTGAACGTATGTGTTGCAAACTTCCTAAAGGGCGAAAGCTGTAAGAAGCACCGTTGCCGATTGGAAATGCGCTAAAAGTACGGAGTATAAGGGCCAGCAATGTAGATAAGTAGTTAATTAGCATTTACCTTTTCTTTTTAGTAGAAAAACTTGGCATTGCTCGTATAGATAGATAACTAGGTGCCAGAATCAACCACGGCTTATTACACAACTTAATACGTACTGAATACCACAGGAACCTCGTTTTAAATAGGTTTCTGAGGGAAAGTGTGCGCTTTCTTCATTAAATCCAGCCTGCCATGCATCAAAATTATGAAGTTGTTTAAAAGAGTGAATGCAGTAACTACCGGGTAACCAATAATAGGGTAATTAACAAGAGCCTTACGGAGGTGCATAGCAAAGGTCTGTTACTGGCCAGAAACTACAGTTCTCCCATGTCTTGGAGCAATTCATGCCAGTTGGCCTACTTGAGCCGCTACTGTTTCAAGCTTGCTGAAAGTATGGCCCGCAGTTTGCTCAAAATTATTGAGCGAAAGTGGGGGGAGGTGAGCGGGTAATTATCTATGTGTGTATCAATCCGTTAATAAGTTACATGTTCCTGGCACTCCGTACCTGGTGCCTAGATGTACATGTGAAAAATTCCCTACTTTAGCCATTCGCCCAACTTAATCCGACCTCTGCATGCCCTCCTGTCCAACCCAGGATCCAGCCCCTCTTCCCCAAACTCGGGGACGCGCGCTTATCAATTTTTCCTGCCTTTGACCTTTACACTGGCTTTACCAAGCAGGTAATCATGTTGATAGGCCTATGCGGAGGTTAGCATCTTATCAAGCAGCATGTCTT